TAATTTTAGTCATGTTTTGCTGATATTAAAACCAAAAATTTTAACAAAGTCCTTTCAGTGTAAAATATCACTTTGTGAGAGGTCAGTCTTCTCTCAGAGCAGCATCTCCAGAGAATAGAGGCCCATAGCAAGTACACACAAAGACAACTCAGCTATTGCTTTATAGATATTACCAGAACAAGAGCTATGACAAAGAAGGGGAACAACAGAACAGCTCTTCTCAAACTCCACACACACTCTGTAACTGCTAAAACCTGCTTTTCTTACTTAATTGTAACTCTAGATCAGAGATGTCAGTAATTTTTTTTACCTTAAAAAGAAAAGGACTTAGACAGCAGATCTGGAAACAGAATTTGGACAGCTTGGACCTAGTTGACACCCCCATTTGTCTTTCTTTCTATGCACCATAGCTAGAAGTTTCAAACACAAGCTTTAGAAAGATCTCTGATTTTCAGCATCTTCCAGCAACGAGGCAGTCCCATTAGGGCAACAGCTCATTAATACTACTGAGGACTCTTAACAAGCAATATTAATTTAGAATGTCAGCTAAAGAAGCAATTAAACTAAATGTTTAAACATTAAAAAATATTGTTCTGCTAAACACTTAAAAACCTTGATGAACTGAAAGCATAAAGTCAACCAGTGATCCCATTAAGAATAGAAAAGCATTCATGAATGTATTAATTCCTGTACTTAATTCCTTAGATGCCAGGAATCTGTGGTACTAACCAAACTGAGAAACTCAGACGTTTGATTTTTTTGACAGAATCAAGGAGGGTACTTGGTAAAATTGTCATTTGGTAAAATTTGTCTTCAGAAAAGAATAGATTTTCAAAGGTAATACATGTAATACATGTCACTCGACTTGAATATGCAACATGTAAGAAAAGTGGACACATAATAACGGACTAATTAACACAGCATTACAGACTTGATGTCTAGACAAGATAAGACATTTCAAGAATTGCTGTTACCTATGCTCATGAAGGAAGAACAAAGAGATAGCCTTTTGTGCAACACTGATGCTGAATAGCTCCAATTATGAATTTAACACCAGGGACACATTTGTCATCACTTCCGAAAAAAACCACCACACTTCAGCACATTACATGCTAAAAGCACAAGCTGATCCTTAACTATATAAAACCAGAAACTAAACAACTCCAAAATATTACCTTAATGCGTAATGCATGCCATTAAATGCAAAGATATTTTAGAAGTGCATGAAATGGTTACATTAGCAAACTATAGACGTTCACTGATCCTGACATGCAGATGCAAAATTCACTACAATACTGTTTGCAAGTAACCAGACCAATCTTTTAAACATCTGTTTCATGGGGTTCTAGCTCACCACGCTCAGGCAAATGCTCAGACAACATTTAACACCTAATTTCAAAATTGTAAAAGCGAAGAAAAGAGGGAAAGCATGTTCAAAGAGCTAAGGAAACACCTAACTTCAAAAAAAAAACCCAACCAAACAATCAAAAAAAAAAACCCAACCCAGAAGGCTCATTATCTCAGTATTCTATTTAAAAATAAATTAAAAAAAAAACCAACCAAAATTCTCCAAAGCTTTTAATTAAGGACAAAACATTAAAAAACACATCATGGGCTATATTAAAATATGAGATATACATTAATGCTGAGCAATTTCCGCTGCATGCAGAAGAAAAAATTCAGTCCCTTCAATCCAGTCTGCACCTGGATTGAAGGGAACCATTTCCCAAGTACCTGCCATGCAGAAGTGCCAGAAAAAAATCCTATTCTCCCAGTCCTGAAGTGTCAGGTTCTGGGAAATCAACCCTACCCTGAGAGCAGCAGAGCCCACTCCCAGCAGAGCAGGTCCCAAAAGCAGGGGACCACACCAAGGAGCTGGGATTCTGCAGTTCAAGAACGCAGACAGAAAGCTGTCAGGAGAAGTAGTGAGCAGAAACTGTGTCCTCGGTGGGAGGAAACCATGTTCTGGAATGTGATGGCAGCTGAGCTCAAGACAAAGAGCTCAAGACACTGGAAGAGGCTGCCCAGGGAAACAGTGGAGCCTCCTTCATTGCAAATCTGCAGGGCTCACTTGGACAGAGCCCTGAATGCCCTGATGTAAGGCCCTGTTTTGAGGAGATGGGCTGGGGTAAGTCCTATGCAACCTAGGAGTTTCCATATGAATGTCATTAGGCATGCTGTTTCAAAGATGAGACAAAAAATGCCCAGGATCTGCAGTCCCAACTCCGAAATGCTTTCAAGCATCTGTGCATCTGAAATCATATCCCTCCTTTCCAAGTAATATTGGCACACTTCAAATGAAATATATTCTTCCAAGTTTTCCTAGTTTGGGAGTGACACAGATCATTCTTGGCTGTTTAAACAGTGTCTGGATTTTTCCAAGCCTTTATCCATGAGCAGAACTTCTGGTTTCCTCTCTTTGTGTCAGCTTCAGTTAATATTTGCAAAGCAATTGCAGACTCCTAGAAGATAGTCACTATATAGCAAACAGCAACCAGCCCTTGGTTTGACACATTTTGCCCTGTCATCATCAGTGCACAAAGAACTTCATTTTTCATCAAATGACATGATTTTACATGACTGTTTGCAGTAAGTCCCCCATCAAATAAATAATATACAACTATTTTCTTGATGAGCCAGGGTGATCACTTACAATCACACTTCATTTAAAATTCTGAAACTGGCAATTGTGTTATTGTAGCTGAGAGAAAAGGCAGCGGCAACTTTACAAAAGAGTGATATGAGCGATACACAAGATATTGCCATGGACTCATTTAAAACAGAACACCTGTATGAATATTTCATTCAATTGCTCAAGGGGTATTTTTGATTGCTTTTCTAAGAGAAAAAACAGACTATATCACAAGCTGCCACCTCCCTCCTGCCCAGGGCATCAGACTGCCTGTTTCCCTGCTGCACAGCAGTGGATTTGCCCATTGCGACACCGTGCATGTTCTGTCAGCACAGTTTTACTGCCTCTGGGTTTTCCCAGAGGAAACAGAACCATCCTATGAAGTACATGTTTGAAAAATTTTGTTCCTTTTCCAGGTTAGAGCTTTGGAGGCAAATGGATATGGAGAGGGCAAAGCATAGAAGGTTTTATCAGGAGTCTGGAACAGCCAAGAAATACTTGGCAATCCGGTTGAGGATAAATATGAACCAAAAAGCAAACATCATTAGATCTGGTGCTCTGAAAGAAAAATTTAGGAGACAGAAGTGGAAGTAGTTCAATGGGTCAGACCTCACTTCCTCAGACATTAGCTGGACCCTCACCAATTCTTTAACATATACCCAGTGGCACATGCCCTGTCTGACTTCATTTCTTACTTATTTTAAATATCTTACTAGCTGTCCAGTGCATACTGAAAAACAACATCTTGAAAATCTTGCTTTGCAGAAGGATTACCATTCTTGCAGCTTCACCATTCTTGCAGCATAAGTCTTTGCAATCAGCATTTTATTTTAGTAATATTCCCACAAAATTGCATTCCAGAAATACTACATTAAACACTTGAATGAAATTTAACTGAAAAAAGTCCATTGAACCAAATATTTTTTCTGCTATTACGCGAGTCTTCAAGACAAACAATCAGAAATAAATTAAAAAGCCTTCTTATAAATGTACAAGCTTACAGTTCACTTTACAGATTTAAATGTTAAGCTAAATTTACATTTAGATCCTGAGAACTCAAAGTAAACAGAATACTGGAATATACAAATTTCTACAGACTGATTCCACACATAGTATACAAATTTCAACAGATTCACAGTATTTTATTATGATGACTCATTACGATATTCGTGATTATGAAAATCATCAGCTCTATCCCAACAATTTTATAAAAATCCAGAAAATTTAACTGCAGATCCAAAGTTAATTTTAAGTATTTATGTGAAAAACATGTGGATCATTTTCCAGTCTTAATTTTTAATGATTAAGTAAATATCTTGTCTAATTCTTAACAAATTCACAGTCCTTGTTTATAAGAAAATAAGCATCTTGTTCAATTCAGTAAAATATTTCTAGCATCATTCTAGAATCTTATTTAAATTCTGCAGAAGCTGACAGCTTCAATATTCAAATCAACAGGAGAAACTGGTTGTGCAAAGTCCAAACCTAAGTTATTCCTCATGCTTTTCTGAACTAAGTTTCTAAAAGTTTCACTTTATAGAACATAATCTAGATTTCCCTAGAATTAAGTGCAAACTCTACCACACACAGTAGCATTAGATCATATGGAAAACAATGTTTGGGTTTTATGACCAAATTTTCATCCGTTTTCACTATAACCTTGTCCTTAGGGCCTAGGGAAATTTAACCACACATTCACCAGCATGAGGCTAATTAATCACAACAGCCATTTTTTAAAAATCTTTTCCTAGCCTGTGGTTTTTTTTCAGTTTGTCATTTTTTAAAAGTCCTAAGTTTATGCATCTGGTCCTGCTCTTTTAGGCCCTTTGTGACCCTGTGATCAGACACACAGGGACAAACCAGCTGCATCATGACTCCCAAAGCTAGAGCACATTCTGGTAAAATTCCATCCCAGCCAGACCCCACACACATGGAAAGCTGTGCCCACCATGAACATGATTAGGCAAAGCCAATACTAAGAGAAGGAAAAAAAAAAAACAAACCCCAAAAACAACAGAGTAGATAGCTGCTTTTCAAGTGTGAATAAAATGGAACAGTGTTGCAGCCCAGGAAATGGCCTCACAGGCAACTGAACAAAGGCCATGAGAATTAAGGGACAGTCATCGTCTTAGCTCAGCTTGCAAAACAGCAGTTGTTGCATGTAAGTTGCAGAAAACTACCATTAATTTCCATGTGCAGATAAATGCCATGGTTCTTCAGAATTAAACTGTTGGTGATGATACCACACTGTCTTGAAAAATCAAATTATATTCATATTAGACTCCAAGGAGGAGGAAAAAATAAATCAAGGTAATTTTAGCAGAGCAAATCATTAGTGTATTAGTGACAAAATGCCAAGGAGACTCACCTGTTCTATCTCCTTTGTCTTAGTTGCAATTGCTTTTGAACGACCTAGAAGCTGGCTGTCCTCGTATAATTCTGGGCTGTCTGTTAGATTTGCCTCTGTTTCCTCTGTTTGCTCAATGTATAATGGAGCTGAAGATCCAGCCTTAAGAAAAAAACAATAAATTCAGTTTTTAGAGAAAAATAAAAATCACAGTATGATGAAAAAACCCCAAAAGCCCAAACACAGTCATCAGATATATGAGTTTGGCTCATCAAGACTATTAGTGAAGTGTTATTGCTACAGTCTTAGCAGACACAGAAATACAGATTTTAAACATGTAGAAAACATGACATGATAAAACCCCTTGTGACACAGCCTTAACTGTGTAGAGGCAATGATGTCAGATATCCTCTACCTGCCCATCCACTGAGAAGAAATTTGTGTATGTGGTATTTATAACACCAGAAAGCAAGAAAAATCCACAAGGAAAATGTGACCTGTCTTCTGGGAAAGGATAAAAGTAGCAAAAGCATAGGTATCAAGAAAATTAAAATTTTGGAGAACTCTTGAAGCATTCAGGGCCACAGGTTATTATTATTGCAATAACTATAGTATAGCAAAAGAAAATATGTGATTTGAAGATTTCTCTCTCTAAAACAGAAATTAAGACAGTATTCCTACTCCAAAGAAAACATGCCACCTCCAAGGAGTTTATTTAGAAAATATAGCGATTCTGTTTTACAGAATTATTTAAATCTGGTATTATGGAACAAATTTCTATTTTTTTTAAATATATTTGAAAATTGAAGATGATAACTAGTTTCTTTTATCCAAAAATAGAGGTAAAGAATCTTAAGACTTAGCTAACATGAAAGAGAAAAGCATTAGACAGAAAAAGGAAGTAAAAAGCTTAAGTAGTCCTGTAAACACATGCTCAAACCTTAGCAGCAACACAAACCATTAAGACTGAATACCAAATCTTGCTATCCCAGTAAAGAACTAAATGCCTGAGAGTGAATGAAGGCCACTAAAAAGCTCAGTGCAACACAAAGTTCAAGTATTAGGCTCTTGTAAGATAAACAGGAAAAAGTCCAGAATTCTTGCAATTCATTTGTGACCGCCTACTAATCAAGGTAAGAAATCCTTTCCTCTAACACTCAGAATGAGATGCCCAACCCCCTTCATTAGCATTTCTACAGCCCACTTTCTTAGTCAATAAATTATTTCAGACTGTACCACAACCAACTGCAATTGCTTCACTTTGATTCCATATGTTTAATCTTTTTGCCACTGCAGTTCTCTCTGAGGTGTGGAGGATGCTTTAAACAACTCTTCTCCATGTGGCCAACTCTGTTCTTTCCTCCCTTCCATTACCTTCCCCTCAGCAAGAACCACAGTGATATTTCTCTCCTGAACCTCTCAGAAATGTTCATGCATCTGTTCTCCTTCATATGGTACTCATCTTTGGATCAGCTGTTGCTTTTTCTTGATTCTAACACTTCCTCCCCTTTTTTTCTTTTTTTAATTGCTTTTTCCAGTTTATGTATCTAACTAGATCTTCCTGACCATTACTGAGGAGCTGCTTATGCATTCACCCATTACATCAATGGGCAGAACTTGAAAGTTCAGATAAATATGGATTGAGTTTATTTTTCTAATCTAGCCCTTATATTCTACAAGTGGAAATGAGATACTTCCCAAGACACATCCATTTTCTCTAAAATGATTTACAAACAAATAAAAAAAAATCAAACCCATTAACTGGAAAGGTTAAGACATGACTTTGTGAAACAGATACTGTTTTTCTTAAGAATGCCTCTAAAGTTGAAACAAAGTGAAAGTTAAAGAAAAAAATTATCACATAAGTTTAACAGAGTATTTACAATATTATTAACATAATATTTGCATTGTTTTAAATGAAAAATACATTTTTCACTAACATATCAGAACCCAAAAAAGACATCCCATCCAAGAGCAGCATAACAAATGGCTGAGAAGGGTTATAATCCCACTTCAATATAGCCAGGAGTGGAGGACAAGAAGGGGTGAAAACAAAACGAAATAAACTGGTAAATAATTACCATTGATTAATAACAAAATAAGGATTCTGGGGAAAATAAAAAATATACCCACAGCAGTAACAAGGTAAGGTTTATTTTAAATATAATGGGAGACAGCTTCCTGAAAAAGAATACGTGACGTGGTAAGCCGGCACAGCTTGAAATGGAACTCAACAAACCAGAGCTTCTCTTCTCAAGTCTTATGTCTTACATGTACACTCATGTTTTGACTCCAAGTCCTCTCCTAATTTTAAGGAGTTCAGTAGACATACAGACCTACACTACTACAAGAGCTCCTTGGAGAGCACTTAGGAGAGCTGAAACTGTATTGTGTCACTTGTAGTTCAACATCATGGCAAATTATACTAACAAAATGTACTGTGGCTTTGTGTATTCTTTCAAAAGAAATAAATTGCAAGGTTTTATTTTCCCTCTCACTCCCTTTCAACAAATATTTAATAGCATAGGCAGAAAAATTCAGGATTGAGTTACAAAATGTGCCTTTATGAAGAGTACAGAAAAACAAGAGCCTATTGTTGTAACACTTGGAAATAAGTGGATTAATAATCCTATCTTACATCATACTCTGTTATTTCAGGTAAATTGCTTTCCTCGGCCTTCTCTGCTGCCTTTTCAGCTGCCCACTTGCTTGCAGCTTCTGCAAGTTCCTTTTCCGATAGTCTGTTGCTCTTCTCCAAGGCCTGTACAAAAACATTATAGTCAAGCTTTAACATGAAATACACTTACACATGGCAAAAATCTTCAAAAATAAAAAGTTATTCCAATCCCTAAAATATTTTAAAATAGGAAACAAGAAAGATGAAATTATTTCATTTGCTGTCAAATTTCTTTAAAAAGAAAAGAAACAAGAGAGGAGGAAAAAAAGATAAATCAGTGAAAGTCAGTGGACTACTACAAAACCACTATATCTTCCAGATAAGGTTTATTAAATTCATAGGTTAGAGATAACAGAAAAATTGCTTAAAGAAGTCAGATACAAGAGTGGAGTGAACTAGTAATTCAATGTGATTTTCAGGCATAAAAGGTTGCAAAAATTTTTAAATAAACTGTTAAATACTAGGTAGGGTATAAAACCTGAGCTAATTAAGGAGAAAAAATATTTTACACAAAGTTTAAGTGATCAGACCTGGTTCCATTAAAATCCACTATTTTCTATTTGTGGGAATGCTAATAATTTATAATAGAGTCAGTCACGGTTTTATGTTTTTAAATCTATCTTTTCAAATGGAAATTCTCACATTAATAACGTTTAAAAATTGATTTCTCTCCAAGAATACTATTTGGCTTTTACTATCAGAGCAGCAAACAGACAATGGCAAATATCAGTCTAGGAACAACGAGCTTTATAAATCTTGTTATCACTATGTGGCTATTTAGCTTAAATCAACTATATGTATAGAAGCACACAAAGAATCTGTATCACTCTAGCATTAAAAATTGCAACACTAAGATGGGTATCTGAAAAAGAGATACAAAAAGTTCTACTACCTGAAAAAAGCCATAACGATTTCTACCCCATGCCTGTTCCATCTTAGCAAACAGGTAGGCAAAAAAAAAAGCAAACAAAATCCCAAATGAAAGAAACTCCACCTCTTACCATTAGCTCATTCTAAGTTATATAAATGGCCAGTATCAAAACTCCTTCGTCTTCACATCTTTTGTTCTTACGTCAAACAAAATATTATCCAAATATCTCTGTATTGTAGTATGGCATAAATACACAAATCACAGAACCCTTGCAGGATTCTGTGTCATAAAGACACCACTTTTATTTGAATCCAGAAGAGAAGTGCAACACAATGTTCCAATAGGAATCCCTGTTTTCTATAACTGCAAATTACTGAATTACAGCCAGTGAAGTCAGAGGTGACAAAGTTGAATGTGCAGGGGTATGAAGAGGGCACTTGGAAGAAAGGAGCAACATAATAATAGAAAATCTCACATAACCTGCTATATTTCCACAAGTCATAAAAGAAATTAACTAATATCTATTGGAATACAGAAAAAAATCTGTTTCATTTAGTTTCACTAAATTTAATTCTGTAGGTTGAATGTTATAAATATGTATTAAATCCTGAGTGAATTTCACGGAATAAAGTAATGGTACTTGCACAGTTACACTTCAGCTGAAGAGACAGAACAGGAACATATTTCTCAGTTGAGAATAGCAGAAGCTATTTAGGCTGCAAACTTTCAAGAAACAACCAGTCTAATACATCTCATAAAAAAACCCCTAAACTGCTGCCCCAGCCACCCCCAAAAAACCAGAAGTCTCTCTTTTTTTTTGTATTTTTTATCTCATCAAGAACATAGAAAAGCAAAAGGCTGTCACTTTACTCAGCAGCTGTTCCTGTCTCACACATCCACCTTCTGCTCTATGTTGTATACAGCCTCCAAGGCTTACAATCCATACAGCTAACAAAGAAAAATACAAAATATTTCATACCATAGTCAAATAGGTGGCTACGATCAGGTAACATCAACAGGTATTGATTCACATGCATGAATAGGCAAAAAATAATTATAGATTAAAATAACCTTTTCAGATTTGCAAATAGATAGTACAGTGAAAAGAGGTATTGCTATACCTTTGTAAGAATTTCAGAGCTAAATTATAACTTAGAGCATTGAGAATTATCTCCTTTAATCACTAATATATAGCATATAACTAATTTCCCAAGCCTTGATAAATTGTAAGACTCTGCCTCTGGAGATGTTCATGTTTTGCCAAGACTACTTCTGTCACTACTTCTGAGTCAGTGAAGCACTTGGGTAACTTAACTGTTCAGTGCAATTCCAGCCAAAAGGCTGATTCCAAAAAGCTCCACTGACACAGGGCACTCACATTATAAGCAGATTTGGGGGCTGAAGAGAAAAGTCAATGAACAGCCATGGAAGTATTTCCATTTCTGCAGCTGATGCATACCCAATAAGTATTTATGCTGCCTGGGAAATTACTTCCATCAAACAAAGTTTCATTTTGCATAGCCTGTATCAAGTGGATATCCACTGCCAGCACATACTTGCAAACTGATGGCAAAAAACCAATACAGCATAGGTCAGACCTGATTGAAGAAGAAAGCAGGACACTTACAGAGCTCAAGCTCACCCTGCATATTAACTCAAGAGCAAGAGATTTTGCAATGCCTACTTGTTCTCAAAGGTGTGTATTAAGTAAGGATTTGATACTAAGCTGCAGTATGCTGAGTCTAAAAACAAAATAAGTGAACTAATTATAAAGTATATTTTATGATCCAAATCAGTGTAACTTGTGCATAATCGCTTTTATCTTATTTTTCCCTATTTACATCACTTGCCTCACCCCTCAAGGACAATGGCAATCAGCTGGCACAGCAGCTCTAAAAGAGATGTGTAAGAGATAAGCACTTAGAATGACACAGCACAACCAAAGCCTGGGGTTTTTTCCCACTGAATATATGGCAGGTGTGTCTGTGTCAAATGAGTGGTAATACTATCATACTCACAACAACCCAGAATTCTAAGAACAAGTCCTATTCCTATGGTAAGGAATAGGAAATAACATCATAAGGAATATGCACTTAAACAGGTGTATGCAGTATCTCCTTCCAACTGAGGAAAAAATCCAACAATGAACAATCTAAAACCAGTGTGAAGTACTCAAAAAGAAAATTCACCTTTGATGAAGGTACTGTTGTGGACCCTGAAGGTGATGCATCTCTTGATGTTTTCAGTGACTGAACTGTCCTCTCTTTACCTACAAGAAAGAATTTAATGACTGAGAAATTATATATATATATATATATATATATATTTATTTATTTTCCAAATATGGTTACTGGCTTAGAAAAATTGCAATGAAATTTTCTCACATCAGACATGAACTTTATCACCCTCAACAACTACCTGAGAGGGGGCTGTAGCAAGATGGGAATTGAACTCCTCTCCCAGGCAACTACTGACAAGAGGACATGGGCAAAAGCTGTGCCAGGGAAGGCTCAGGCTGGACACCAGGGAGAATCTTTCCACTGCAAGAGTGGCTAAGCTTGGAATAGCTGTTCAGGCAGGTGGTGGAGCCACAATCCCTGGAGGTGTTCAAGAAACAACAGAACATGGCATTTAGTGCCATGGTCTAGTTGATAGGGTGGTGTTAGGTCGAAGGTTGGACTCCATCTTTTCCAACCTTAATGATTTTATAGAATCTACATACTCCATCATCTGGTAAATACTAGTAACACTTTTTCTCTTCCCAAGGAGAGAAAAGATAGAGCTGTGTCATTTCACACATTAAAGAAAACCCACTGTCCTTTTTTCCATCATTAACTGAAAGGGTGTATCAGTATGATTCCACAAGATGATGTGATTTCACTTTCTAATATGCCTGCAATAATAGAAACAGTTGAAATATTAGACACCAGTTAATCACTCAAGGTAGCTGGGTAGTGCATGAACTAGTTTAACAGGCCACAGTATGCTGAAAAGACCTGCCATGGGAAACAGGAAACAGTTCTGTATTGTATCAACCACAGACTAGATGCTCCTTGTGAGATCACTGTCTTTCTTATAGAAGTTAAAATTGGCAAAATATTAAATCAAATTCACAGTGCTAATCACAATCTGTGCAGAGTTTCACCACAGACCATTTACAGGCAGCCCACAGCAACAGAACTGGTAGCAGTGTAAACTACTAGTTTTCAAGCTGTGGTCCACAGATTACATCTAAGAGATCTGCAAAAGCATAAAAAAGCAAACATGCTGTCAGTAGGCCTAAATTAACCAGACTATTCACACTGACTTGGAAACAGCTCACAACAGCTCAGATCACAAATAAGCCAAGGTAATATAAGCTTACTTTGGCTTCCATTAAATTTTTATAAATGCAATTAATAAAGAGATTAATTTAAAAAGCTATTGAAGAGTTATGAAAATTGGGATAGAAGATATTTTTGTAGAACTATAAATGTGATTGTTCATTATGGTTTTAAATATGGCTTTAATTTAATGAGTCAAAGCAACAAAGCACAGAATATCTCCTTAGTCACCACTAAGTTACACAAGTTTTGCTCCTGTGATACTTGCTTCTCAGGCCTATAGGTGAGCCACCTCCTGCTAAACTCACGGACTACTCTGATTCTGTCTCCCACGTGCCTCCTTTGTCAGACTTGATTCTTTAAAGATTATATCAGTTGAATGGATTTTATGTTTGCACCTGAACAGATGAAATTAACTGATACAAAAGGCAGAAAATTATTCAAAGTTAAGTGAAAAAACACCATTTAATTAGAAGACAATAATAGGCCATTTTTTCAGAATGTGTGTGGCTATTTTGAGCCCCAAAGCCCTATCTGTAAAACTTAAAATCCCATCCTCTCCATGCTCTCCCATCACAGATGAATGTCTGCCCTATCCATTAGCCCTTTCCCTCCCTTTACTAAGCTTCTTCATGTCCTCACGGTTTTCTTTGTTTAAATCCTGTATTTATCCTAATGTATGAAGGGCTGTGGAACATGGGATATTCCTTCTTCAGATGACATGATTTTAAATAGCAGTATAATATTTTAGAAAGATACCATATTGCAAATTCCACATGAAATAGAATATACTTTGCATGTTGTAAATCTATTTAAATGTACTAATGACATATATGAGATGTCACACTTGATGTTCCTTTTAAATATTCAATACATGAGCTTACCTAAGGCAAATCACATTCAAAAATTATTCTAAAAGTATTATTTAAACAATTTATACCGTGCAAATAGATATTTTAATTCAGTCATCTAGAGGGCCATTGCAGTAGTTCTCCTTTCCAGGGAAAGGAAAAAAGAAATAGCCCAGTGTAAAACTCAGCTGGTCTCTTAAAACTTATGAAAAGGTGATTGGGAAAGGTATTTAACCATGCAAACAGGAGAAAAATGTCGAAAACCACAGACCTGGATGTAAGCTCCTCTCTGGATCGACACCTTTTCTGGTTTGTGAATGTATCTGCTTCTATATCACTGCCTCCATTATTGTCCGAGCAATTCTAACCATACAGTATATACATATATGATCAAAGCTCAAAATTAAAAAAAAAAAGAAACATTCCAAAATTTTGAATGGTTTCCTCACAACACTGTTTTCCTCTCACTACTAATTATAAGCTGCACACCTACAAGACTTCTAGAAAAGTAGTTAACTATCTTATTCTTTTTCTTCCTCCCCTACATTTAGAGGAATTTATGTTCACTAAGTATTGCTACAAAATGTTGAAAGCACTGTAATGGCCAAATAGAAAGACTATCTCTACTCTGTGAGGAATGAAATTATTCCTCAATATTTAAACAATGCTAACAAAACTACACAGATTTTTTTGACAAGAAGTGCTACATAATGGTTCGGTGTCACTCTGGAAACACAATGTGACTTCCCAGTGAGTGAAAAAGAAATCTAATTAATTTGTAAAAAGCTGCCAAAATGAACAGTAGGTTTGCACAGTTCACTCGAAGGCCTTTGCAGAATGGGAAATCAAATTGGATTAATTTACATAAGCTGTACAAACAGAGAGGCTAAGATTGTAGTATACTAAAAAAGCCCCCCCCCCAATAATTTAAATATGAAACCTCAATTATTTTCAAAACAGATGATTCGTCAGACTTCTGGGAAACATTAAGAGCCAAGCTTTCAAAAAGTCAGAATAGACTCAACTGAGATGCTTCACATTTCTTCAAGGAGAGCCAGATCTGAAAGGTTTTGACATTGAAATGCAATAGCTAAAAAACAGTTTCAAAAGTCTAGCAAAATTTGGAGAAAATGAAGTAAGTAGAAGTATGTACTTCCACTTCTTTTTTTTTAATCCCTGTTTTATTCTGGTTGCAGGAAGAAATGTCTTCACCTGCTGTAGATGAAGCAAAGTTTCTTGTCAGGAAATCCAATGAAGCACATAAAGAAATAACAGGAGCTGATGCTAAAAATAATATAAAATACTAGAAAAAGCTGTGCAGCTGAAACTCCTACAGCCAGTCTAGACCTGATACCAAAATAACACCTACAATCTCCCACATGAAATACATAAGGGAACAGAGAGTACAATGAAACAACCAGAGCAGACAGCACATAGTACAAAATGTCAGCCTTTCCCATTTTAAAAAGAGCATGTAAGGAAGAAAGGCTTATACAGTGAGCTGCAGTTTCACCTCACTAACCAGTTCCCATCATTAATCCGGCATTACCTTGCTGAGAAGAGACATTTCTTTTATGTAAAGATGACATATTTCTGCTGTGCTGGTGGAAAGGATAGGCTTTGCTTCTTTCAGGAGAGTAGCTCCTGCTGCTGACACTGGAGCCGGATCTGCTGTGCGGAGAATCCCTTCGGCTCCCCGGCGATTCCCTGAAGAAAGGAGAGTCCCTCTTGTGAGGGGATCGATCTCTCCCATAATGAGAAGAATAGAAGCTTCTTCTTCTGAAGCCATCTCTGACATCCCTGGGAAGACAACAAAAAATTACAAGTAACTTGCTTGCCTTTACAATGTTTATGGAACAGTACAATGGCAATGGTTCATGCCTGCTAAATACAAATAGGTTAACTGTCAAACACATCCAAAATCCTCAGTGTTTTTAAGACTACTAGGCAAGGGATGAAAAACAAGAAAAAAAAGAAAAAGGTAATTCTTTCATTGAGATGCTTCATTGCTAGAAGCTAATTCCTTTCTATTTCTTGACAATACAGCTAAAACATAGGAAAAAGACATTGACGAAATGAGACTCTCACAATTTTGTTCGGATTCGGTACACTTACCCTGGAAACTAAGCCTTAATTTACAATAGATAAAAGTGCTTATGAAAATATTGTTTACATTATTTGGCATTTTTCAGCTATGTTTTTCTCTTATTTTCAAGGGCCTATATTCCCCATTTGATTTCACACACCTTGCTACACAAAATATCGCTGACAGATTTCAGATATATCCAGCAGAGATAAAAAGAAATCTGCAGAATATCTATTCTCTCACCTATGAATCCATCCAAGGTCAACTCTCGAATGAAAATATGAGGACATATATCTCCTAAATATGTTTCTCACAACACACAATATTAATTTTGAACTTTAATGTAAAAAGTCACACACCCAACTGATTCAAAACCATAATTTAATAAACACCAAAACTTTCAACTAAATTTAAAGATTGTTACTCCAGACCACAGCACAAATGTGTCAGTTATTTGTAAATCATATTAATGTACATGTATGTGTAAAGGCAAAAAAAAAAAACCCTAGTATCATTTCAAACTTGTCCTAAAGAATCACAGAGCTAAAAGACATACAAGCCAACTGAATCTAGAATTGTCACTTTTGCCTTGGTCAGAAGATGCACTGGTAAGAGCAGCAAGTACTTCTCAGCTTCTCCATCAAAATCTCCAAGATTTCAGAGCATTTCTAGTAATTCAGAATCTATCTTATCTCCTATTTCACATCAGAGTCCAGGCTTGTAAACAGAGAAATGTCTCAAAGATCTGGTGGTCTCACTGAGCACAACATAGCTACAGCTAGTTTTGAGTTGGTGGAGAAGAAAAGATGTACAATTCCTACAGCAAGGCACAGACCCATGTTTGTGACAGATGACAAAGGATTTCCATGTGCCAAAGGTGTCTTGGGCTATGGAAGCCTCAGAGGCAGCGCCACAAAACAAACCCCAGTGACACTGCTGTGCTTTACACAGTGCAGGTTTACTTTTTGCACGGAAAGCAAACTTCATTATATGTATGAGCATTTTACGCAGCCACAGACATGAAATGTAAGTTCAGGCTTGAGGAACACTAGATTAACCCTGCACTGAGCTACCTTTTCTAGCTAAGTGGGGCGTTATTTATTTATTAAAGAACATATTGATCAAATATTTATCAGGAATGACCTAGGCACAGCCCACCTTTTCTTGCATTTCCTTCTTAATCGCTCACTTTAAATAATTATATCTATTTTTAAAGCACAAGCTTTCTGGCAGACCAGTACACCACTTATGTGTAAAACACACTTTTATGATCATGTTATTAAACCCTTGTATACAGAGCAGTTTATTACGGTAATGTTTACAGTGCCCCAGCTATTGCACATGTATAATAAATGCTCTAATATCCATGTAAGAATTTTCAAAAACTTAATTGAAACATACTTTTAAACAGGAAAATATTTGAAAGCCACATTCTACAATAATATTATGCACCCCAAAATAGAATCTCACTTTCAATTTTTGAATATTTATTTCACCACTGCATGTCAATTCTTAACTAAACCATATCTCATACAGAACATTCATGCCATTAACTATATTAAGTCTGTTTGGGACAGCATAGCAGCAGCATAGCATTTCTGATGTTTTCCATTAATATAACACACTGAACAGAACAAAGTAAGCATTGTTTTACAGTTATTTTTTTCCTTAAATACTTAAGCTAACATACACCTGCAATTTGGTAACGAAGGCCCCAATTCAGCAAAGCAGTTAAGCACATGCTTCAGATTCCAACACATACTCAAAGGGTTTATTCAGCAGGGACAATATTTAATAGAGATGCAAAATATACTTTAAAATAGATCTACTGCCCTTAACAACAAATACAGAATTAATCCCTTTTATATAGCATCCCTCAAGTCTTTGTATTTTGTGTTCATGATTCACACTTAATCCTAAAAGCACAGTTTTGTTCTCTCAGCAGTGTTGCAACAGGAAGCAACATCTTTGTTAACACAGATGAAACTTGACCATGAAGTTCTCACTAAAGCTGGCAGTCTGGAGGAGCTTCTGAAATGCTACAAGAACAGCTATATTGTGATATATCATTCCCCAAGGGCAGCTGGGGGAAGAGCTCCAGCCTGACAGCTACTTCAGTTCACCATAAGTTCTAGTTTTCTCAAGGACAAAACACAAGTACAGAACAGACAAAGGTATGACTTTCTGCACAGCAGAAAATCAAGGGAATACAACACTGAGGAGATTTTCAGTTGCCCACAGACCAGAAACTGAACAGTGGTATAGCTTAAGCTCTGTGAAACAAAGATTAACAAACCAGTGTGTCAGGTTTATCTCTTAAGAGTACTCAGAAGTAAAATTAAATCACTTCCTGAATGTGAAATGCCCAGGAATAGAGAGGTACTTGGGTACGTGAAGCACATCACATACAATAAAGGAAAAGGTTTTACTGTAAGAGGACTCTTAGAACATTCTCACTGAATTTGTGTTACTGGGCAACAGCTTACAATACTTCATGCTCACTATTCTCTGGGACTTCTATATCCCATTACATTCAACTTTTCAATTAGAACATTAATCTACATTGTGGTCCAGCTATAGTGACCATAACTCTCATTTTTGACACTGAGCTGAACACTGGCAACAAAACAGCATATTGTGTGGAACAGAAACAGGAGGGTCTTCCAGTAATTCACAGGTGAGTGCTGCCTATAACCTAGATTAAAAAGTCAGAGATGATTTTGTGATCCCTTCCATCCGAGAAAATCACTGCTATTGTCAAAGGGATTAAACACTCCATTTACAGGCTTGTGCTTAATTACTAACCTTGCCTAGAAATAACTCTCACACTTTTATATCTTTAATTTATAAATAAATTGAAGAAGCTATAAATAGCTTATGCAACACCAGACTTCAGTGCAAAGAGATAAAACAGTCAAGATCTGAACTGCATCCTTAACTGAAAATACTTTTTCTGCCTCATAACACAGGCATGGGGGAGGGAGAGGAAAAGTTAAACTAAAATTCCTTTTGCCTGCCTTTTCAGGACATTGCAAGAACTACCAACATGAATCAGATGATGCAGAAAATATTTAATAAAATATACAACTCCCCCAGCCTCTAAAAGAAGAGGCAAGAACACCTCCACTTATAGCATCTTCAAAGTAAACGTAGGCGGTGCAAGATTCCAGCCACCCCTCTCCCAGAACTAATTCCATTTCTTTCTAAAGTACACAGTACACGGTTGTGCAACAAACCAACAACTTACTCAGGCTCTGCTTTGAAGATGTGCTATAATCTCTTGTTATTGCCCAAAGATCCTTATGCAGATTCATCCTAAGCTAAAACAATACAGTGAATTACATCATCATAGATAGAAGGAATTGCACCTGGTTTCAATGGCTTTCATTTGAATATTTGAAATGGCAATAAGATTCCTTATTGACAACTGGTTTTCAACATTTTATGACTAAGCAAGTAACTAGAGCACTTGTGATATCTGCATTTTGCTTCAAATGAAATTAACATAATTAGGACCTGCCAGTGTAATCTTATGAACAGCTTTCTGCATGAAGGCAAAAGGAAACAGGCATTGTGAAACACTGTTTCAAGCAGAAAAGGATACCCAGAAATACCAAATGTACCAAAAAAATTGAAAATATATAGATGTTTCATGATTTTTATGCTGCATGCAATACTTCTGAAGTTATCATAAGCAAACAGCAAATCTTTGTCAACCTCAGTCAGTATGAAAGCTACTCAACTCCTCTCTCCCTGCCACCACCTCAGGATCTCATGACAGGTCAGAGGATAAAAAAATAAGACAATCTGAATATTATAGCAACATTAGAGAGAAGGGCTTCTTTGTCCTTTAGTTGAATAGTAAAGCTATGTACTTCAATGGCACTGGAAATCCTACTACATTGCTCTTTCTTCTTAGTGCCCTCCTCCTTTTTACTGCCATTGATAATGTACTATTGGACCTGCTGCAACATCAGCCTACATAATAAAAGTATATTTAAGCTAAAACCTTCTATTATCTGACAGGGAGAAATGATGGTCAATCACAGATAAGGACAGAGAAGCAGAGAATCCAGAAAAAAGAAATAAGAGCAAACAGCTTTAGGCAACTCAAGAATAAAAACAAAATGTGCTACTTAGACAAATTAAGATCAAATTAGACAAAATAACTGCATTCAAATGCATGTGACCTTGGTTTTTCTTTTTTTTTCTTTACAAACAAGGGCTTAATAAGACCTCCCCCCCCATTTCCCTAAATAGAAAACAAAACATAGGTCTTGCATTCCAGAGGGAGCATTTGCTTAAAGTGATGGACCAAATTACAATGTCTGGAAACAGCTAAAACATTTACAACTGCCCTGTATCACCCCAGAAGAATAAAGAAATTCAGACAACTAGATCAGGGACCTAGCTCATAAACCTCTCCCATTTTATGACTCTATGCAGTAGCAACTAAACTAATTCCTAAGCAAACTTAATTCAAAATGGAAACAACTGAAATCTTCTATCTCAATATAAGCTTAAAAACTGGAAAATTGCTAGGAAGTATAACATGGTACTTTCCATACTTTTTTTTCCTAATGCCCTAATAGATCAGAGAAACTGGTCAATGTTTTAGCTTCTAGACAAAGTTCTAATGGACAAAGATTCCTAAGTGGGTACTTGCACTTTTACTGTTGTCCTGCCTCAGGCAGAAACCAGCACACAGAAAAGA